ATAATTCGCCCTGACCATCCGAGGGTCCCGCATTCCACTCGCTATGGTGCGCGTTGAAGTCGTCCAACAGGATGACGTGCGAAAAGGATCGGCAATAAGAGAAGAAAGCCTCATATTCCTCCATCGTAAGAGAGCCCAGAGGGTATCTGTAAACTAAAATTATAGTCAAGTCAAAATTGGCGAAATGTATAGAAATGGTTTGAAATATGAGCCTGCCTTCAAAAATAATAGAGTCATCTTTGTAAGAATAAGACAGAGTGGAGCGAATCGCCAAAGCCAGCCCACCCTCTTGTCTAGTATCCGAGTCTTTACGGAAGATGTCAAAATAATATAATTTAAAATCTGAATCTACAGTCAGCCAAGTCTCAGAGAGTGCTAAAATATCGTATTCCCTGAATAGCGATGAGGAGGCATCAAGTTTACTCGAAATGGAGCGACAATTCCACTGCAAAACCGCAAGGGATTCCGAGGACGAGCGATCAGAATGAGCCAGGTTAGACATTACGTAAAGGTTCGCCCTCCGACGAGCTCACCAACGGCACACGCAAAAATTTGCTAGCAAAATCGCTCACCATACTGAACGCCACACAGCCTAAAAATTGGATCAAGTCTTTCTAATAGCGTATATATCACCTGTACAATAACCTCCAATTGGGCGGAGTTTAATCCTAAAAAGTTGCCTAGCAACAGGAGAGAGGGCGACAAATCGAAAGCCGCCCCCAGAGCCACCCCGTCCCCAGAGACAGGGGGAACCCTACCGTTGGGAAAGAACGTGGGAGGGGAGGGGCGAGAAGTCGGAGCAGTCTGCGAGAAAGGAAGTCTCTCAGCACGGGAGCGAGCAGGTGACGGCGAATAATTGTATGCTTTATTGTTAGAAATAGAATTCTGATTGTTATTGTTGCTGTTAGTATTATTGTTATTGTTATTATTATTATTCCCGTCGGGGGGCCCCGACCCCCGCGCCCCCGGTCCCCCCCCGAGGCCCCCAAAGGATCCTAAGGATCCAGGGGGTCCAGGGAAGGAACCATGAATACCCCCAGAGCGAACGGGGTAAGGGGAAGACAAAGGAGGATCTGTGAGACCCCCCGACGAGGCACCCGATCTCACCGATAAAGAGGAGGACAACACTCCCGCATACGAGTGGGGAGGCCGAGGGGGCAAAGGAATCGAGCCCTCCCGGGGAAGAGAACCCGGGAGTTGAGGAAACCCCCCTCCGAGTCTGTTGAAATCGACCCCCCTCCAGAGAAGACGCTCGACCCCGGACGCGGGAAGCCGCCTCCGCGAAGGGGATGTTCTCGTACGCCGAAAGCTCCCTAATCCTTCTCTGCAAAGAATACTCCGGGCAAGAAAAATCTGTCGTCCTGTGTGGTCCCCCACAGTTAATACAAATCGGGGTGTACCCTCTCCTAGAACAAGTCTCCCCGCCTCTATGCCTCGCCCCCCCCGCAGTCGATACACCTAGCTCGACCCTTACATTGAGCTCCTATATGCCCAAAACGATAACACTTGAAACATAAAGATGTCTTCGCTATGAAAGGAGCGACAAGATGTCTGATCATATACAAACAAACATGATTCGGCAAGGTTTGACCTTTGAAAGATAGATAGGTTTGACCTTATCAAGATAATGCGCGAAGGAGTCAACAAGTTATTATTCTCTTTGCTTGTCTGCGATTGAGTCAAAGGGGAGCGAGAGAGGGCGGCTCCCTTTCGTTTATTAAGTCTTTGCACAGAGACAACGTCAATGTCAGATTCGAGGCCATTCAAAATTTCTTTTTCAGAGAGGTCCAATGAGATACCTCGGATAATGCCCCTGCGAGTAGTTCGATATGTTGGAATGTAAACTAAATATCCTTTTTCTTTCAAAATCCGGTTTGAGATTAAAGCATTAGCCGCCTCGCGAGATTTAAAGCGGATATTAATTTTGGAAAAACCAGTCTTTTTTAATTCAATAATATCATTTTTATTGTCGGAGTAAAGGAGGCGTCCGATCGCCAGAGGGTCAATAGCAGAGGGCCTCGAAATACTGCCACTGTCGCTGTTTGAACTATTAGAATCGTTTTTCTGAATAATAACGTCAAAGGGGCCCAAAGATCTCGAATCGTAGCGGTTAGCTTTCGCATAGGAAGGATTCTGAAGATTCTCTAAATTTATGTTTATGTTTTTGTCAGAGGTAAAAGAGGTGATAGAATCCGCCCTACCCTGACACAAGCGACTATCTCCCTCACCCAATATTTGACGTTTACTCACGGATAAGTCAAGGCTGCAGTTCTTTTTCCTTTTATTTTTATATTTAACCGCAATTGGTTCCTTATCCAATGCACTAGGGAGCAATCCGTCTCCAATATATACAGCGGGCTCAGCTACCGAGACAGAGCAGTCCATGGTTTCAGAAGGTGGCTGCGAAGCAGTTACAAATGCATTAGAGCTTAGATTAACATTAGAATTAGGATTAGAATTAGGATTAGGATTATTTGCAAGATTTGATACGGGATCCGAGGGAGGGGAAAGGGGGGATAAAGAAAGAGCAATCGCATTGAGTTTATCTTCGTCTGAAAGAACGACAGCATTAGAATTCGACATTAATAAATTATTGTCTTCGTCATTAAAAGAACGATTAATTATATTAGTACGGTTGTTAGTAGGATCTTGGATGGACATGGTTAAGGAGTACTGACCGTGTCTCTGCGAATTTTCTACCACGTGGCCAAACGGCCAAAATGGCCGAGCGCCATGGCGCAGTGCCTCGCGCTATTGAGATTTGTCGATATAGGCGGTTCAAGTGCCAAACGGAACAGCGTTGGTAGAAAAGCGAACCTGACTCTCGTCACAGAGAAGGCCGCGGCCAAGAAAATTGCCCGCCAATCGATTTTTTCCTTTATTAGCTCCCAGTAACTCAGAGCACCACCTCTCACACGTGTGTATCGCTTCGTGGTCTAGACGGAAGTCCCGAGCGCTTTATCAATGTGACGAGAGCTGACAAAAATAGCAATGTCGTCCGCGAACTGGATTATTTCATAGTCTTCCCCTATGGATTTATTTAATTTCGATACGTATATGTTGAAAAGGAGGGGACTAAGTATGGAGCCTTGAGGAACTCCTTCGTAAGTAGCGTACGTTAGTGATTTCTCCGTTAATTACAAACTGAAGCTTACGAGCATGAATGAGTGTGTTTGAAAAATATTGAAATTCCGCGCCTCCGCGGTTTCAAAATCGGTAGTATCTTGCACCGCCACGCGCGCACCCTGCCTCCATCTTGGTTTTTCTCGGAAGAGGGCGCTTATCACCTTCTTCTTTGTTCTCTTCTCTGAAAAATCACAAAGAGTCTTTCTCTCGTGTAGTCAAGTCGTTCTTTATACGCAGCAGTGCTTTGAAAAGAATATCGCGCAAACGAGAATATTTTCGCTAGCTCAAAGTGAAGGAATCTACTGAAGATTCGAAGGACATCCATACTGGATGTTAACTCTCAAGGACATCCATACTGGATGTTAACTCTCAATTGTGCGGTTCGTGAAACCAAGATTCAAGCAAGAGAGGCTTTTACGAAGCCGTGTTCGTCCGAGGGTCATTGTCTGTTCTCTCTCTCTCTCCTAGAAAGCTTTCGGCATCTAGGCAGACCCTACGGACAATCTTTGGATTTCACACTACAGATAAGTGAACGATCGAGATATCTTAAAGTGCATATCTCGTGATTCTCTCTTTGTTTCTCTCTCTATCTCATTGCAAGATTGACTCTCATTGTTTCTCTATCTCACTCTACATCTGAGTTACGCTCAATGTTCTTTGTGTGCTCGAGCCGACGGTACGAATCTTTGAAATACTGTAAGGCTCACCTATTATTGGATTTGAGTGATTTCTGCTTATGATAGTACAAAATCATTGCTGTGATAATTCTATTCTTACATATATTTAATTTGAGTTACTTTGCAGAAAATAATTCCAGCACATTATTTCATTCAACCTTTGTAATAACAGATTTATTTCATTAGTTTAATATATATATAAACGTTAAGTTAATACAAGCGTTATTGATTTATTATCATTAATATTCTATTTTTAATCTATTATACGTTGAAAACTTCAGTCATTATATGAATTATCTTTAGTAAATTAAGATTTGATTTATGTTCTGTTAGATTTTATTGTTAATTTAGTAAACAAAGATTTTATTATTGAGTTATTTATCAAGATTTTTTCTTTTCTTCAACTCACGTCTCTTTTATTACAGTTATTCATACATTAAAACTGGGTCCTTCGAGCCGGATCTAGATAGATAGATATATATAGATAGAGATATATAGATAACAGCAAGCGATTTTTCGAAATGAGAGTCAATCACATTGAAAGTCGGTTAGAGCACCAGCTCACTCTCAGAACTATCATTCTGAATTCAGTTGATAATCTCACTAAGGTTGGATACTCCAACATAACTCCTCAACGAGTACACGCTCGAGTATCAGCTCTTAAGGAAACCTGGGAGAAGTTTTCTTTAACTCATGATGCCATTAATTTGGTAGTGACACAGCTCAGTAACGATGAAAAAGTGCAAATGCAATCTCATACTTATTTCTCAGATAATCTCTTTTCAGCTACTTACGAATCCTATCTCGAGGCAGTCGAAAAAATGAATTCATTTTTCGATTATGACTCAGAATATACAACCGAGGCTTCTGCCTCATCTCAAAATTCAAATATACCCGTGTTCTTTCATCATGCTCGGCTGTCACGCATTGACATCCCGAAATTTAACGGTTCTCCTTCTGACTGGCTTTCCTTCAAAGATTTATTCAGTTCTCTGATTCTAGCCAATCCAAGCTTATCATCCGTAGAAAAACTTCAATACTTGAAAACGAGTCTAGTAGGATCTGCCTCACATTTGCTGAAGAACATAACTCACAGCGGACAACTTTCAAAAAGCGTGGAACGCTCTGATCTCTTTTTATGAGAATAAGCGACTTCTCGTTAACTCTGCATTACATTCTTTATTAACTCTCAAGCGGATGACGAAGGAATCCGCCAGTGAGATGGAACAGCTGTATACCAATATAATGCAGATTCATCGTACTCTGGAGACATTGAAACGACCTATTCACCACTGGGATGATTTCTTTGTTTTTATTACAGTGCAACGTCTGGATTCGGAATCTGTCAAAGCCTGAGAACATCATTTAGGCTCGTCGAAAGAACCCCCTACATGGAAATAATTTAGTGATTTCTTAATAACCAGATTTCTATCTCTCCAAGCCTTTGAAAAATCACGAACTGGAAAATCTGGGACATCGTCAACACCAAACACTTTCAAAGAAAGAGGCCCGAGCTCTAATTGATCAAGGCTCTGAAATATCTCTCGTTTCAGAACGCCTAGCTCAGATGCTACATATTCCAAGGACTCATTCTTCCATCTGCTTATCCGGAGTTGGTTGCCAACAGCATAACAATACTAAGGGCTCAATACGTCTCACCTTGAGATGTCAATACGATCAGTCTGAGCTCTCACTTTCAGCTCATATTTTACCAAAACTTACTGCACCTCTTCCGTCAACAAACTTCGAGCAGACTTCCTGGCCGCATCTTGACGGACTTAAACTGGCAGATAACAATTATAAAATGCCGGGACCGATTGACATAATATTAGGCGCCGATGTTTATAATCAGATAATCGAGGATGGATTAATAAAGGGAGATGCGAAATCACCAATCGCGCAGCTCACAAGATTTGGATGGATTATATCAGGACCCGTTGATATTCAGTCTTCCTCTACATCCAAGCAAGCATATCATATTGCCGTTGATAGAGATCTTCATGATTTATTACAGAGATTCTGGCAATTTGAAGAAATCTCAACTTCAACATTGTCTTTATCCATCAACGATCAAGAATGTGAACGTCATTTTAAAACATCTCACTTACGCGATCAATCAGGAAGATATATAGTCCGACTTCCTTTTAATCAATCAAGGAAAAAACTAGGAGACTCTCGCTCTAGAGCACTGCGGATCATCAACAGTTTATCTAAGAAACTCATGAATGAACCAGAATACTCGATAGCTTATCACGAATTCTTACGAGAGTATGAACGACTCGGTCATATGATACGAGTTCCACAATCGCAACCAGAGCCCGAAGAGGCTTACTACCTGCCTCATCACGGAGTATTTCGAGAGAACAGCTCAATTACGAAACTCAGAGTGGTTTTTAACGGATCAAGCCGAACCACTACCGAAACCTCTCTAAATGATCTTCTTCACACTGGCGCTAAATTGCAGACTGATGTCTTCGACGTACTCGTCTGGTTCAGACAATTCCGATACGTTTTTTCTTGTGACATCAAAAAAGATGTATAGACAGATCAAGGTGTATCTCGAAGACCGGGACTTCCAACGCATTTTATGGATTGATCAAAATCAGGAAATTTCGACCTATCAACTCGCAACCGTCACGTATGGACTAGCCTGTGCTCCCTTTCTAGCACTCCGTACACTCGCACAACTAATCGACGACGAAGGCGCAAAATTCCCTTTAGCCATTCCTGTGCTCACCAAGGGGCAATACGTAGATGACATTTTTGGAGGAGCGGACTCTATCACAGAAACACAAGAGATCATACTTCAACTAATTTCCTTGTGCAAGGCGGGCGGTTTCCCGCTTCAAAAATGGACAAACAACCATCGAGACACGCTCGACTTTATCTCTCTCGAAAGACATAATAATCTCTCACCAGTTCACTTCGACGAAGCTGTAACAGTTCATATACTCGGACTTTGCTGGAACTCACACACAGATTCTCTCCAATTTTCTTTCTACATGCGTTCCACCAACAATTATCACGAAACGCCGCATACTTTCCACCATAGCCAAAATCTTCGATCCGCTTGGCCTATTGGCTCCTGTCATTATAACAGCAAAAATATTCATTCAGCAGCTCTAGTCTATAAAACTTGGATGGGATGATCTTTTACGATTATCATCAACGAGAGTATGGACTTATTTCACAGAACATCTTAAGGATATAACGACGTTAACCTTTTCACGATGGATCGATTTCAAATCTGGACAAGACATCGAAATTCACAGATTTTGTGATGCCTCACAGCTCGCTATCTGTGCTACTATTTACGTTCGAACATCAACACAAGAGGAAAATTTCAAAACACACTTACTTTGTGCTAAGACGAAGGTCGCACCTCTAAAGAAAATGACCATTCCTCGCCTTGAATTAATTGGAGCGGTTATACTAACTAAATTAGTTTCTCGTGTTTTACAAATTTTAGAATTAAATCAAGTACCTGTGTTTATGTGGACTGATTCCGCCATCGTACATACGTGGATCAACAATCACCCTTTTCGTTGGAAAGATTTCGTCCACAATCGAGTTTGCTACATTCATGAAGGTCTTCCTCAAGCAATCTGGAGAATTATCCCGGGTAAAGAAAACTCTGCGGATTATGGCACTCGCGGTATGACACCGTCTCAACTTCTTCAACATACCACCTGGTGGACTGGACCTCATTGACTTTCACAGGATTCTTCCACATGGCCAAAGGATCCAGTGTCTGTGACACTCAAAAAATCTGAAAGAAAGGCCAATTCAAATACTCATCACGAACCACGAAGCTAGCAATCTCTGGGATTTAATCAATCGATACTCTAATCTCACTCGATTATTACGTATAACTGTATTATGCATGCGTGCTACGGCTCGCTTTAAAGGATCTACAACAGTTTCATTAACTCATTCTATTTCTACTCAAGAATTGGAAACAGCTAAATTCTATTGGATTCGAATGACTCAACGTTGGGCCTTCCGTCAAGAACTGAAAATTCTCTCCGATAATCAATCTCTCCCACGCTCAAGCTCACTTCTACACCTCACACCATTTTTAGATTCACAAGGGCTACTGAGAGTCGGAGGTCGTCTTCAGGCGGCGCCGTTATCCTCATCAGTCAAACATCCATTAATTATTCCCCGAAATTCTTCTCTAACATCTCTTATTATTTCAGATACTCATTCGCGAACCTTCCACGGAGGCACACAACTCACCCTCTCATTCATACGAAACGATTATTGGATTGTTGGAGGTCGAGCACCAGTGCGATCATTCATTCTGAAATGCGTTAAATGTGCTCGATACAGGCAAAAAAGAGCTCAGCAGATAATGGGACAATTGCCTCCCGAGCGAGTGACACCTTCACGCCCCTTTTTACATTCCGGCGTTGACTATGCTGGACCTTTTATTTTAAAAAACTGGAAGGAGAGAAACTCCAGAACGTACAAAGGATATATTGCCTTATTTATATGCCTTTCAACATCCACAATTCATATTGAACTTCACAGATGAACGTCACAGATTATTCTGCTGACGCTTTCATTGCTGCGTACAAGCGGTTTGTTGCCAGAAGAGGAATATGTGCAACCTTAACCAGTGATTGCGGGACGAATCTTAAGGGAGCGGATTCCGAACTTCAAAAATTATTTCTCTCATCTGCTAAAGAACTTGGAAATTTATCAGCGCTCCTAGCAAAGGATGGAACTCAATGGAAATTTATCCCTCTTGCAACACCTCATTTCGAAGGAAAATGGGAGGCTGGCGTAAAGTCTGTGAAATATCATCTTAAACGAGTTGTTGGAAATCAATTATTAACATATGAAGAGATGATTACTCTTCTAACACAAATTGAAGCCATTCTGAACTCTTGACCTCTATGCTCACTCACTGATGATCCTGATGATTTAAATGTACTCACTCCAGCACATTTTCTAATAGGAAGCTCATTGTCAACAATTGCAGAGCCATCTCTTGAAACGGAAAAAATATCGCGCCTCTCTCGATGGCAACTCACAAGACAAATAGTTGAAAGCTTTTGGACTCACTGGACTAAGGAGTACTTACAACGATATCTCTCAATTTATAAGTGGAATCGTACATCTCCCCCACCCGCCATCTTGGTGTTTTAGCAGTGTTACGTATCTTCGAGTGCCTCCTCAAGATTTCACAAATCAGCCCATTTCTGGGCTACTTCGAGCGTCAAATACCAATTGTATTTGATTCATTTATTGTGTGCCTTCTCTGGACATATAAATTTTCGGCGGCTCTACAAGTGGAAGACTAAAAATAGAGCGCATTCAACAACGGGCGTTCTCGCGCCTTTGTTCTCGGCTTCGGCCATTACGACGCATTGTCCCTCGCATTCCTATTCCTCCTCCCCTTCCTCCCCGGAGAAAGGAATCTATCGGATTCACATATCAGCGCAGGATTTTGCATCGTCTTACTATCTGTAAGTACAATCTCACTTATTTCAATAGTCGAGAATATCCTTAAATATGGATTTGGAAGATCCCGACATGTCTGCCGCACTCGAGTCATTAATTACTGAGTCAAGCTCTTCGCCTGTGACTCGCACAAAGATTTTAGGCAAGCGGCCTATAGAAAAAGAATTTCTACCAGCCTCTTCTAAAATCTCACGCTCTAGCACAGATAGTAGTCTAACATCACACCAAGAACCGAACTCTGGATCAGTGATATCGCTCAGAGACACTATTCGAAATAATAGATACTCTGATAACAATGCTGGACCGTTCGACGTACACGTGCAACGCATTTCCAACTCGAAAGCTCAGCTGCATCCCATTTTCGTAGGAAGAGCCGTGTGCGAACTTGGCATAAACGACATTCTAGAAATCAAAAAAGCAGGTTTCTCCAAGGCATCTATTTATTTCAAATCCAAAGAAGCAGCAAATGCTTTAGTCAGCGATAGGAAATTATCTAAGAGAACGATTTAGAGGCCTTCATCCCTCCCTTTCGCACCTCTAGGAAGGGAATAATCAGAGACGTCCCTCCTGAATTCACAGAACAGCAAATTTTAGAGAGCATCGTCAGTCCTTTTAAGATCATCGCAGTAAGCAGACTTAATCGTAGAGTCACGACACCTCCTTACTTGGATTCTCAGTCTGATTCTCCATCAGTGGTCTCTTACTCTCCGTCTCTCTCAGTTTCGATTACCTTTGAGGGGCAGAAAATTCCTAAACACATATATTTATTTCACGTCAGCTACCCTGTTTCGCCTTATGTCGCAAGAGTCTCAAGGTGCAATAAATGTTATAGATTTGGACACATCAAGATCAACTGTAAAAGCCAGCCTCGCTGCTCACATTGCGGAGAGAAAGGTCACTCCTTCTCAGAGGAACATTGCCATCAGAGTCACCGACCACCCACGTGCGCAAACTGCAAAGACGAGCATCGAGCAGACTCACTCACCTGCCCAGAATTTCTTACTCAGAAGGAAATAAGAAAATACGCAGCTTACAGGAATATCTCCTTACTGGATGCAAGAGAGATCTTTAAAGGTAACAGAACCCTTCCCTCCTTCTCTTCATCCTCTGAAGAGTTTCCAAAACTAAATTCTTCCCGTTTCACACCTCGTCACCCGGACCCAAATCTACACGCTCCATCCCCCTCGTTTGATGACTACACATCACCGCACCTCTCTTTCGCTCAAGCCGCTAAGACTCTCTCCTCCTCTCCTAGCATTTCTGTCTCTGACAGAGCTTCTTGTAAATCTTCTGCCTCTCTCCCTGCCTTTACACGCCTCAATAAAAATCCCCGCCTTCCCCCACCCCCAACCATAAGCCTCCTTACCCCAACGTATCATTTCCTGCATTCCCCTCTACTTCCTCAACTGTTCCTGTAAACCACTCTGATAACCCTCCTACTTTATCTAACTCTTCCCCTTCAAATCCCCCAATTACTCCTCAGAATGATCTTAATCACATTGTACGGCTCATTATTGAACTGTTACCTCTACTTACTTCTTCCGATATTCCCGAATTTGTCCCCACTATTCTCCATTTTATTCGCAATCTTCTCGTTAACTCGGACAACTCCCCCCCCCCACATATCTAGTATGGCCAACAAGATAACTTACAATAACTTTACGCTTTTCCAATAGAATTGTCACGGCATATCCAACAAAAGGGATTCCCTCGTTCAAATCAGCGATCAATTTGACATTTTCGCGTTATCTGAAACATGGCTCTCCCTAGATAAGGAATTCTTTCTAAATAATTTCCATATACTACGGAAGGATGGTCCTTCCAACAAATCTGGTGGTGTCCTACTGGCAATCAATAAATCTATTCCTTTCACAAAACTTGATTCTATTTTTTCCCCGGACAGGATCCTCGAGGCTGTCGCAGTCAAAATCTCTTCTCTTCACATCGACATCTTTATTGTCTCCATTTATAGACATCCATCCAGTTCTTCTGCTTTTGCCTGGGAAGACCTCTTCAACTCAACTCCAACCTCTGGACAGATTATCATTACAGGAGACTTTAATGCACATCACA